AGCAGCCGAGAAGCTGGAACCTGGTCTGGTGCGAAGGAGCAGAAGATCCCGGACGCGCTGCCGTCCAGAGATCGCAGAGCTTTAGACATTTGCACAATACGTGCGACACCGTAAGGCTGACTTCCTCGCATCCTGCTCGAGATCCTGAGAAGCGGCATCGCTGGGCAGCACCACACCGGAGCAGCGGACGCCTGGGGAGGTACAGGAGAGCTTCGGGGTGTGAGCCCCTCGGAGGTGCGGTGCTGGGGTGTAGGGCTGCTCTGTCCTGGGACAGGAGCAAAAATCCTCCCTGAGCTTTCACCGGGGGATGCTGAGCTGTATTTACCTTGACTGTTAAGCAGAAAGCTTCGTATAACGTGCCCAGAGCTCTAAAGCCATTTTGTACGATAGCAGTATCCCTTTTCTACAGCCTTATTAATGAGTAGAGTATCTTTAAAAAGAAGAAAAAAAAAAGTTCATTTCTTTCTGTGGTATGAAACTTGTGTACTATGAACGTTTAGCAAAAACACAACTTACAGTTTTCTTAAAAAAACAAACAAAAAAACCAACAACAAAAAAACCTGTCTGCTTTCCATACGGTCTTTCCTCAGGTGCTAAATAAGGGTTCCAAAAATGGATACTGCTTTAGGAGTTTCTGCTTTATTCTTAAAATACATATTTTTTTGCTTAGGTGTTGTAAAGATATTTTAACAAGAATGTTTTTTTAATGTAAATAAGATTGTGTCTTTAATTTTTGTTTTATCTCCTTCTTGTCTAGATTGAATAGTCTAATTTTCATTTTATCCTTTTGAGAAGGACCCTCTTACGACCTTCCTTGAAGACATTTCATTAAGTGTTTGCTGCGTTTAAGAATGAATCTACAACTGTTCATTGTCTTGGATTAATGCTGCTGCTGCTATAAGTAACCCTGAAAATCAAGAATGTGTGATGCACTTTTTTTTTTACATGACCATGTAGTTCCTCTGCGGATAGTCGAACCCTCCTGTAACACAGCCACTGACTGCGGGTCGCGTAGGAGCTGGGGGAGCCGGGGTGTCGGAGAGGGCTGTACCGGGTTTTGGTGCTGACCTACGGGAATTTCTATGCAAACGCAAGCAAAGGAGAACTCTTAACTTGAGAGAACACTGTGCATTTTTTATTTTTTTTCCTCTCCTTCCTTTTCTCAAGCTGCTATTGGCAGGGTACTGCAAACCCCTGAGGTTTTCAAATTCTCCTTCCTCCATGGCTGGTGGTGCGGGAAAGATGCCTGGGTAACTTGTAAGGTAGAAAAATCTCAATCAGCTGGTGTCTCGTCTCCGGTTTTCATATTTTGTTTTCTGTTTGAATCTATCTGTGGAAGGAAATTGCTCATCTCTGCAAAAAGATCTTTTTAGTGCTTTATCTCAATGTGAAGTTAACCAGCAGTGTTAGGGATCGCCTGGCCCCCTTCCTGCCCCTGCCCCGCCACTGGGCACCCGCCAGCTCCTTCTCCTGCTGCCCTCGGGTGCCAGGGAGCGCTCGGTGCCCCGAGTTGGATGTTTCCCAAGGAAAAAGTGAGGACAGGCCATCTACCCCACTGAAACCTGATGGCTGAGGCGTGGAAGCCCCCGGCTTGGGGAGCAGGGGAGGGAGTGCTGCCGCGGGGCACGGGCAGGTCCAGAACCTCTTGTCTTCGTGGGTCATGCCTGGACCAGCGCGGAGGGATGCGACCGCGAAGGAGGAGTGTACTGGAGGAGGAAAAAAGGGAATTTACTTGACTATTTATAGAAGATCCTTTAGGAAAATAAAGTACCTCTAAAGTGAGGGAAGAGTAAGGAAGGTCTAATCATGTAGGAAAAATGTAGGATTACAACTGCCTGGAAAATAGTGTGTTAAGTACCTTAGGCCAGAACTCTGCCTGTTCCGTTAGTTTATTCAGCATCGGGTTTTTTTTTTTAGCCAGCATTTGCTTTTTTACATACACGTGTGTGTGCGTACATCCGACTCAATGTGCCTTGCGTGCGTGCTTGGTCTTGCTGAAGAGGGTTTGTAGTGGTGTGTGAGCTGCTGGGACGTGGCGTGGGACAGCCGGGCTGACAGCGCGGTGACCGTGCCCCATCTGCAGTCGAGGGGTCGTCACTGTCCCGGTGACCCATCGGATCGAAATGAGACTTGGACTCGAGCCCGCGTAGTGGCTGTCGTACAGTTTGGAGGCAATGTCGCGTGGGATGGCACCTTTCCTTTCCTGACATGAGCCGTTTTCTGTGATATTGGGGGAGAGAAAGAGAAGCTGCTTTGCTGTTCTCCTGCCGACACAAATAAGCATTGCGATGCTTTGCCCGCAAAGCGAACACAAGCGCAGGTCTGGAACCAGCTTTGCTCTGGAGGTAGGGCTCTCTGCGGGGCCAGGGACCCCGTTACCCGGGGGGTTATTCCCTTCAGGTTGTGGTTCTTGTTACTGTGGGGTTTTACTTTTTTTTTTTCTTTTTTTCTTTTTTTTTTTTTTAATAAAGGAGAATTAAACACGCCTTGCTTAAAGTTGACAGAATAGAAACGCTTCTGTTTGCAGTCAGTGACTCAGAATACGAAGCTGTGCAATTCTTGTTTCTTCATCTCTCTCCCGACTCGCCCGCCCCAGTGTGTGATTTCTGTCCGAGTCTTTCTGTCCTTCTGCCACTGTAAATGTGAACGCTTGCTTGCATTATTTTTTAGAAATGCATTTTGCACACTCGGGTTTCGCCGAAGCTCCGTGAAGAGGTTAGTTTGAAGCAGATGAATAAAGCTATGCACATGTTTTGAAAGTTTTAATTTGTGTCTCATTACCAGAAGTGACTTATCTGCCCTCTTTTGCATTCCTGTGCTGTCATTGCCGCATTCTCTTCACCACCTCGGAGGGTATGATGTAGGGTGACAGTTCTTTGCTGACAGCTGTAGCAGAAAACTGGCGCTGCTTGATTTTTTTAGTAGCCTATCTCTCTCCTTTGCTTTCTCTGTATCTCTCTGTATAGCTATATAAATACATATATTATTTTTTTATTTTAAAAGAGCCTACTTTAGTAATTGAATGGGAGGGAGCGGGGTGTGCTGGCTTGTGTTTCAGACACACTTCGTGCTGTCGGATGAACGAGTGCCCTTTTCTTCTCTGGTGGAGAGCGTGGCGGTGGTACCCAGCAGCATCCCGCCGGGCGC